TGGATACAAAAATCCTCGACAAAACACTTACAAGCCAAACTCAGCAGCATATCAAAACACTAATCTACCATGATCAAGTAGGCTTTATTACAGGAATGCAAGTTTGATTCAACATATACAAGCCAATAAATGTGATTCATATATAAAGAGAACTAAAAGTAAAAATCACGTGATCATCTCAACAGCTGCAGAAAATTCTTTTAATAAGATTCAACGTTCTTCATGTTAAAAACTCTCAGTAAGCTAGGCATCAAAGGAACATATTTCAAAATAATACAAAATAATAAGAGTCATCTATTAAAAACCCACAGCAAACATCATACTAAATGGGCAAAAACTGAAAGCATTCCCCTTGAGAACCAGAATAAGACAAATATGCCCACCCTCACCATTCCTATCCAACATAACACTAGAAGTCCTAGCCAGAGCAATGAGGCAAAATAAAGAAATAAAAGGCATCCAAATAAGAGGAGAAAAAAATCAAACTCTCTCATTTCACAAATGATATGATTCTACACTGAGAAAATCCCTAGTCTCTGGCCAAAGGCCCCTAGGTCTGATACACAACATCACCACCATTTCAGGATACAAAGTCAATGTACAAAAATCAGTAGCATTTCTAGACACCAACAACATCCAAGCTGAGAGCCAGATCAAGAACACAGTTCCATTCCCAATAACCACGAAAGAATAAAATACCTAGGAATACGGCTAACGAGAAAGGTGAAAGATCTCTACAATGAGAATTACAAAATACTGCTCAAAGAAATCAGAGGTGACACAAACAAATGGAAAACATTCCGCAGTCATGGACAGGAAGGATCAATATTGTTAAAAAGCCATACTTCCCAAAGCAATTTACAGATTCAATGCTATTCCTATCAAACTACCAATGACATTTTTTTAACAGAATTTAAAAAAAACTATTTTAAAATGTGTATGGAACCAAAATAGAGCCTGAATAACCAAAACAATTCTAAGCAAAAACAGCAGAGCTGGAAGCATCATTACCCCACTTCAAACCATGCTACAAGGCTACAGTAACCAAAACAGCATGGTACTGATACAAAAACAAACACAGACCAATGGAACAGGTTAGAGAACACATAAATAAAGTGCACACCTACAGGTATTTGATCTTTGACAAAGTCAACAAAAACAAGCAATGGGGAAAGGACACCCTATTCATAAAAGGTGCTGGAATAACTGGCTAGACATATGTTTGAAGACTGAAAACTGGACACTTCATTCCATCATGCACAAAAATCAACTCAAGATGAATTCAAGACTTCTATGTAAAAACTAAAACTATAAAACCCTTGAAGAAAACCTAGGAAATACCATTCTGGACATAAACCCTGACAAAAATTTCACGATAAAGACTCCAAAAGCAATTGCAACAAAAATAATATTGACAAATGGGATCTAACTAAACTAAAGGGCTTCTTCAAAGCAGCAGAATAAACAGGCAACCTAAAGAATGGTAGAAAATATTTGCAAACTATGCATTCAACAAAGCTCTAACACCCAGAATCTGTAAGGGACATATATTGGCAAGAAAAAAGCAAACAATTCCATTAAAAATAGGCAAAGGGGCTGAGCATGGTGGCTCATGCCTGTAATCCTAGCACTTTGGTAGGCCAAGGCAGGCAGATCACCTGAGGTCGGGAGTTTGAGACCAGCCTGACCAACATGGAGAAACCCCATCTCTACTAAAAATACAAAAATTAGCCAGGTGTGGTGGTGCATGCCTGTAGTCCCAGCTACTCAGGAGGCTGAGGCAGGAGAATCGCTTGAACCCAGGAGGTGGAGGTTGCGGTGAGCTGAGATTGCACCGTTGCACTCCTCCAGCCTGGGCAACAAGAGCGAAACTCCGTCTCAAAGAAAAAAAAAAAAAAAAGGCAAAGGACATAAGTAGACGTTTCTCACAAGAAGACATACACATAGCCAACAAACATATGAAACAATATTCAACATCACTAATCATTAGAGGAATACAAATCGAAACCACAATGAAACACCACACCAGTAAGAATGGCTATTGTTAAAAATTCAAAAAATAACAAACTGGCAAGGTTTCAGAGAAAAAGAAACGCTTACACACCACTGCTGGGAGTGTAAATTAGTTCAGCCACTGTGGACGACACAGCCATAAAAAAGAATGAGATCATGTGCTTTGCAGAACATGGATGGAACTGGAGGCCATTGTCCTAAGCAAATTAATGCAGAAACAGAAAACCAAATACTACATATTATCTCTTATAAATGGGAGCTAAACATTGAGTACGCATGGACACAAAGAAGGGAATAATAGACACCGGGGCCTACTTGAGGGTGGAGAATGGCAGGAGAGTGAGGATCAATAAACTACCTATTGGGTAGGTGCATTACTTGGGTGACAAAATAATCTGTACACCAAACTCCCACAACATGCAATTCACCATATAACTAACCTGCACATGTACCCCCTGAACCTAAAATTCGGGAAATGCACAAGGTGAAGTAGCAAGTACTGATGTAGGAGGTACAGCAAGTTATCCAGATCTAGCTAGAAAATTAATAAAGGTGGCTACACTAAGTAACAAAATTTTAATGTAGATAAAACAGCCTTATTTTGGAAGAAGATGCCATCTAGTATTTCATAGCGAGAGAGAAATCAATACCAAGCTTCAAAGCTTCAAAGGACAGACTGACTCTCCTGTTAGGTGACTGTCAGTTGAAGTCAATGCTCATTTGCCATTCTGAAAATCCTAGGACCCTTAAGATTTATGTCAGATCTACTCTGTGCCCTATGGATAGAACATCTGCTTATAGCATGATTTACCAAATATTTTAAGCTCACTGTTGAGACTGTTCCTTTCAAAATATTATTGCCCATTAACAATGCACCTGTCACCAAAGCGCTCTGATGGAAACATACAAGACGAGGAACATTGTTTTCATGACTGCTAATACAACATCCATTCTGCAGCCCATGAATCAAGGAGTAGTTTGGACTTTCAAGTTTTATTATTTAAGAGATACATTTCATACCGTCACAGATAGTGATTCATCTGATTGATCTGGGCAAAATAAATTCAAAACCTTCCGGAAGGCCTTCATCATTCTCGATGTTATTAAGAACACTTGAGATTCATGGGAGCAGGTCAAAATATCAACATTAACAGGAGTTTGGAAGAAGTTGATTCCAACACTCAGATGACTTTGAGAGACTCACAACTTCAGTGGAGGAAGTAACGGCAGATGTCATGGAAATAGCAAGAAAACTATAATTACAAGTGAAGCCTGAAGATATGACTGAATTGCTGCAATCTCATGATAAAACTTAAACATCTGAGTTGCTTCTTATGGATGAGCAAAGAAAGTGGTTTCTTGAGATAGAATATACTCCTTGTGAAGATGCTGTGAACATTACTGAAATGGTAACAAAGGATTTAGAAAATTGATAAAGCAGTGGCAGGGATTGAGGATATTGGCTCTGATTTTGAAAGAAGTTCTACTATGGATGGTATGCTATCAAACAGCATTGTATGCTACAGAGAAATGTTTCATGAAAGAAAGAGTCAATCGATGTGGCAAACATTATTGTCTTACCTTAAGAAATTGCCACAGACATCCCAACCTTCAACAATCACCGCTCTGATCAGTCAGCAGGCCTCAACATCAAAGCAAGGCACTTGACCAGCAAAAAGATTACAGCTTGCTGAAGGCTCAAATGATTGTTAGCAATTTTTAGCAATAAAATATTTTAATTAAGGTATGTACATGTCTTTCTTAGACCTAATGCTATTGTACACTTCAAAGGCTACTGTATAGCATAAACATAACCTTTACATGCAATGGGAAACAAAAACTTCATGTGATTTCTTTATTGCAATATTTGCTTTATTGCAGTGGTCTGAAACCAAACCCACAATATCTCCAAGGCATGCCTCATTTTTATTGTATATAATTCCTTATATATTATTCCTTGTATGTGTGTGGGTGGGGTGGTGGTATACAGAGGATTCAAAGACCACCAAATGTTTAGATAAATAAATGGAAAATAAAATAGACCCATGGGATTGATGCACAGTAAGAAATAGGCTGACAATGGAGGTAACTATGGCATAGAATAGATTTCTGAATATGGTATTAGGCTCCCTAGATTCCTTGCATTTACATATACATAAACAGACAGTCATACCTTATACTATATAAGGTATTATATATAATGTAATATATCAGGTAGTAATATAATATTATACCTGTATTATAAATTATATTAAATATATAGGAAAGACTAATATGTAAAAATATATAAATATATATTAATTTAGATAGCTATGGGTCAGTAGGTAGATGGCTGGCTGGCTGGCTGGATAGATAATGCCAAATAGAAGTATCTAGTCTGGGTCAGTATTTCTCTCTGGATTCTTCTTGTCCATCAGAGAGCATCATCTTTTCATCCACTTACTCCATTTCACATATTTTCACCCAGTAGCTATTTTCACTGGGTCTAGTTAAAAGAAGGAAAAGATAAACTTATTCATTGAATTTTTCCCTCATATTTGGGGTCTTAGAATTCTAAGGTTGTTGTTTTTTTGTTTCTGCTTCTAGCCATAAGGGCTTCACTCTGCTAGTAGCACTCTGCTCTTCGTAATAATTTTCTTTTTGCTTCTTGTTGCTTTTTGTTTTTGCTGTTGTTGCTAGCCAGCAGTGCTTCAGTTATGGAAGTAGATTCCATGAAAACTGCAAAAAAAAATTTTTTGGACGCTTTGTTTTGAATTGTGTCTTCAGGTTTGGTTTGGGGAGGATTCGGGTAAGATGTTTCCATCAGGAAGCTTGAATCCACTACCTTAATCGACAAGCCCACAGTGCAAGTACAACTAATCACTATCTAATCCTTAACTTTTGCAAGATTTGGAAAAGATATTTATGATTGGGTTTTATTAAAATAGATATCATGAGTAAAGACAGTTGACCTTTTTATTTGAGCTTTTTGTTTTTCTTTTTATCAGGAAGCTCGTATCTGTTAGACCTTGGAGAGGAGATCTAAGATCTACACCTTGATATTAATGGCATTAGGTAGTTTAGCAAATTTATTTTAATGGATTAAATGTGTATATGTATCACATATAAATATGCACAAAAATAGAAATATTAAATATTGTTTTAATGAAAAAGATATAAACTGTTTATACAGTAGAAAAGAAAACCTTTAATTGCTAAACAAATGTTTTCTTCTTAAACTAGCCATATCATTTCTATCCAGTGGTTCATAAGTATATACTGTGAAGCTATATTTTTATTTAAACTGTCCATTAATTAAATATACTCTTGCTTTTTAAAAAAATATTGGTTAGTCAGAAGCTGTGAGTCTACATAAATAAGGAAGAATAAGAAAATTTTAAATTGCTTATAACAGGCAGACTAAATTTTTTAAAAATGCTGCACCTTTAGAAGTTACCAGAAGTTCTTTCTGAATGACTCCATTGATTTCTGCTGTTTTCATTGGCTTTTAAATGCTGGCTTCCATTCTTTCAAAATGAGGACAAATAGGATAAGAAATATTATGTTTAGTAGGTAATTATATCAATTAGAGTATTTGCTTATCTAGATTGAATCAAGCAGTCTTTTGTCCTAAAATAGTGTTTTCAAAATTACAAAACAAAAGCTTAAAAAAATACCTTTTTGTTTTGTAAGAAAGTTTCACAGAACATGGACTTGCAGAGATAGAAGTATATATAGCTAAGTTATCGAACTGATGCTTAAATTCCTTGGTGCCAATTATGGAAATAATTGTACAAATTCCTGGTAAAAATTTATATTTTTCAGCTAACACATACTTGGAGACATTCACAGAAGATACATGTACAAGTCTATATTACTTTGGGTAAATACCCTTCTAGAACAATTTTGTTTATCTCTGTTTTCTGATTCATAATAATGGCTTGATGTAAATCTATGGGTGTCAGGACTGCTTTCTCTAGTTTTTGGGCTCCAGCCTGTATTGCATCTCTACCAAGACACTCCAAAGAATCTACTGTGTTACTCTCTAGGGGTGGAAAACAAAGAAACAAAAATAAAGCATTACTTTACATCCAGGTGAATTTCTTCAAATCATTTCTAATTGGCTTTCCAGAAGAAATCCTATTGAATTAATTTATATCTCTAGCTGCTATTTTAAAATAACATTTGTCTGCAAGTAGGTGAGCAACACTTTCTAATACCAATAGCTAGAGACCAAGCATACCCATTGCACACACAAACACACACATTTTGAGAGAATGAGAGGAGAAAAAAGTTGTTTCTTTCAGCTAGTGCACTGAGCAAGTCTTGCACCATTCTTAAGAGAATGAACTCACACTATGAGCAACTCACAATTAAACCTCCCCAAATTTATGAGAACTCTGGAGAAATACACTACATATATGGTGCACTTTAATATACTTTTGACTTTAGTCTACTCTGGGGTACTTTCCTTGTGCAATTAATTGTATTCTCCTACACAACTATAGCAAAAATGAACAAATTCAGATAGCTCTTCAGAGTCAATGTTAAGCGTGATCTCTATCATGACATGATGAGATACATATAATTTCTGTAGGACAAAGACTGTATTTCCCAAGTTAAATCATAATTAGTTCAAAATGTCATATGTAAATTCCCTTTGCTTATTCAGAAATGCATCAAATAAAGCAAATTCAAATATATTTTATAGTATTGTACAATCACTGCCATATAAAAAGAGGTTAACTTAAAGGAACACTATTTTTTTTTTTTTTGAGAAAGGGTCTCATTCTGTCATCCAGGCTGAGGACAGTGGCACAATCACAGCTCACTGCAGTCTTGATCTCCTGGGTTCAAACCATCCTCCCAGCTAAGGATAGACTATAACCCCTGGTAACCACTATTCTACTCTCTGAATATATGAATTAGGTATTTCCGGTGATAACTTATACACCCTCTTGATGTAAAATGCTTTGTTTTCATCTAGGTAATGTGTTAGATGTATAAAATTGTTGGTGTTTATCTACCTTTTGACAGACGGGCTGCAAAGGCAGTTTCCTTGACATCAAACTGTCAAGGAAGCACATATCCACCACTGGGTTCATGAATTCCTGCTTTGTGTCACAGGATACCAAGAGCCCCCCCAGACCAAAATAATCTTATTAAAGATGTCCAAGAAGCATCTCCATATAGGAGGCAGGTTTCCTCAGACAGGCACACTTCTGTCTCCCTTGCCCCACCCCTGCACCCCATCATGAGGTGTGAGCAGTTAGGGTGGTTAGGGATTATGAATAGCCATTGGAAAAAGTATTAATTTTTATTTATGTATTAACAAAATGTACTCTCTTAAAGATGGGATATGCATAGCCTAGCAGGCATGATTTTCTTACTACCCTTATTTTCCCTGCACATCCCTGTAAATAGCCAAAGGGCCATGGTGACCAAGGGTAGGAGGTATGGGTACTGGTAACATCAGGAACTAATTTAGTTTAGGCCGTAGTCTCGCCCCTTACAGGCCTAAGCATTCCTCTGCAGTAGAGAGTTCTGTGACATGTTAGGGATGAGCCTAGTGTCCAGCTGAACCACTCAGGGAAGTACAGTCCAGGGCTGGGTTCAAGCGGGAGCTCTAACATCCTGGGAGTCAAAATCAGACTTGGGGAATCACTGAGCCAGAAACTGGTGCTTGAAGACTGGGAAGTGATTCAGACAGGGGCGAACCCACATGCTTCCAGGTATGTAGTCAACTCCTAGAGTCAGACACCAGGGAAGTGGGGAACAGGTCCCCCAGAAGGTACTTCCCTCTTGCCTCTCTTGATTCTCCCACTCCCACCTTCATCAGATAAGAGTTATTAAAGGCTGTTGAAAAGGACCGTGAAAGGATCATAGGAGGAGGTTTTTCTTTTTAATTTTAGTAAGTATTGCAGAAAATGTGCTCTCTTGACAAGATTTAAGACATGCGTAACTGGTCCTCATAGACCAGGGATGGATAAAGTGTGTAGATGCAGTGCCGCCACAGCTGCTTTGTGTTGTATACGACATTCCTGAAAAAAGGGATGCACAGAGGTAGACAGAGCAGATACTTGTACTGTGATTCTAACCCCAGAGGCCTTATTCTACACTATTTTCTCCCCCAAATTATAGCTGTAATCTGGGGTACATATTTGAGAGTTTGATTTCTGGTTTTGCTACCCAACAATCCATGACAGATAAATACAAGATCCCAAGCTGGTACCCCTGCCCTGCCACCCTCTGAATTGTTTGCTTAGTAACTGGAATGGGTTTATTGTGATCTGGCCACAGCAATGACCTTAGACAAAAATCATGCAGTCTGTACAATGCTTCCCCCTTGCCTCTGCGGTCCACCCTCCTTTCCCGATGCTCCGCCAGGCATCGTTGTACTGTCCTTTGGCCTACTTGGGTCTTTCTGTTACCTGTCACCGTGTCACACTCAAAGCAACATCCTTAATTTGGACTTGCAAAGTTTCCTTCTCTAATGAAATGTTATTTGTGCAATTTTTACTTCCTTTGGGGTCTTCCTCAAAGTCAAGAAGATTGAAGCTTCATGTAGGAATTAGACCTCTGACTCTGGACTTGTTATCACAGCTTTCTAACCTACTAAGCAAAAAGGCCATATTTAAGTCCAACACAAACACCTTGTCCTCACATGCCCCAGCCCCCATTGCAGGAGGAGAAAATTGTGCTGGTATGTTTACAGGCTGAAAGTAAAGGAAGGAAACCTTAAGCCAAGTAAATTGAAAATAAATATTATTTTTCTCTAAGGCTGCACCAATGTGAAAAATCTTCTTTCAAGAAACAACCTTTGCTGTTAGCTCTCAATGTGCCAAAAAGTCAGTGACGGTAGCCCCTAAAGAAATTAAGTTGATGCTTTTTCTCAGATTATAAACTCAGCATTATTGAGAATCTCTTCTAAACTTCCAGCATTCTAGGTTCAAAAATATTTACGTTTCCAACTCAAAAATAGAGAGGATTTATTTTGAAAATCTTTTTGGCAGCTTTGTCTGCCTACATAAAAGTTTTAGAAATCTTAATTGGATAATTAAAATCTTTTATGACGTTTCCTAGAAACACACCTAAATGCCTAAATGGCATTTAAAAATGATCAGAATAGTGAGTATGGCCATCGGATCCAGAAATACACAATGTCAAAATGCTATAAACAGCTGGGCTTGGCTGGGTGCGGTGGCTCACGCCTGTAATCCCAACACTTTGAGAGGCTGAGGTGGGCGGATCACAAGGTCAGGAGTTCGAGACCAGCCTGGCCAATGTACGGAAACCCCGTCTCTACAAAAAATACAAAAGAAAAAAAAGAGAGAGAGAGAATTAGCTGGTCATGGTGGCGGGCACCTGTAGTTCCGGCTACTTGGGAGGCGGAGGCTGGAGACTCACTTGAACCCGGGAGGTGTAGGTTGCAGTGAGCCAAGATCACGCCACGGCACTCCAGCCTGGGTGACAGTGTGAGACTCCATCAAACAAACAAACAAAAACAAACAAACAAAAAACTAGGCTTTGCCTTTCCTGGGTGAGCAAAGGTGATGTACAAAAAGGAAATATGTGAAACAAAAGACATAAGTCGCCTAACAATGATGTGATGCTTGACTTTTTAAAGTACCTGGGAGGAGAAAAGTGGAGAAATCAAATGAAGGCTGGCAACTAAATATTTCCCACACATGGGTGTCTTTTCTCTTTATTTAGTGAGCCTTCTTTCCTCACTACCATTTATTTTTCTTATCAATTAAGGTTGGGTACTAAGTTTCCACTGTATTCATTTTGAGTATCAAAGAAGATAAACAACTTTGGCTGGTCATCTCTCCAGATATATTTCATCAACTTGAGAAGCGGTTCTAGAATAAGTATTGCAGGAAGCTCATTCTCTAACCTAAGCTTTGTGTGTTTTAAGACTATCTGTAGTGTACATGATGACATTCTCTGCCTCAATCTCGGTTATCACCTTGGTAGATTGAAGTAGAAATGCTACTTTAAGTTTTGTGACCTCAAAACACTGGAAACCTGTGATTTTCTTCTTTTTCAGACATGCTAATAAATTTCTCCATACATCACACTTGTTTCAGGTCTTTATTCTTGCACTTGATCTAAAAAGTCAACAATTAATTAACTTTGGAAGTTCTTTGAGATTGAAGATGATGAGCTAGATACTCATTCCTTGTTTGGGAAAATGGTAGTTTATAACTATGTCTCTGTTTAAGTATAACTCCTTTCCTCATTGTAAAAGCGATACTATCCTGTTGTTGAACATTTAAAGGAAAAAAATCCCACAACTCAAAGATAACTTCAGGCCATCTAAGGTGTGTGTGCGTGTGTGCGTGCGTGTGTGTGTGTGTGAAGGCAGGCTGAAAATATGATTTTGTACTCCATATTGTACTAAATTATAAACATCTACTAATACTAAAAGTGGTCTGTATAAATGTTGCTTAGAGGCCACATAATAATCTGTTGTATGTTTATCATATTAGATTGAACCATATGAAATTGCCAGTATTTAATCTTGTAATCAACAAAAAATGTCACTTTGATGTGGTTCAACCTAGTAAAATTTAAATTGTGTTCCCCACTTATTGAACATCATGTCTAGCTTTGTCAAAATGTTTAAAAAAAAAGTTACCTAGGAACGTTCATGAACATATCTGTATTAGTTCACATATTTAGTCATTTCTTCAGAATAATTTCCAGAAAAAGAATTGATTTGGAAGATAAATGTGGAGGCTCTTCCCCGTATTTTGAAATTGCTTGCAAAGAGGTTGTAGCAATTTATATTCTTCTTGACTATGTACCCCACTCTATCAATTTTACTCTACCCTCACAGAAATTGAGGATGATAGTATTTTTATCTCTGCCAGTCGTGTAAGTAAATATTATATGCCTTATTTCTTAACATGTCTATAATTAGCACATTTCATATTTACTCCAATTTTTAAGATGATCAAAACTCGATTCATAAATATATGAAACTACTTGAGAAGTAGGGCCCAAAACCTAAAATGGAATTGGGTTTAACATCATGATATTGAATTACTCTCCTATTACCCCAGATCCATGATAACAGACTGTCTTTAGTAAAACA